ATCACAACACTTCTGACAGGCCCTCCTTATTTCTAAATAATTATACTTTTGACCTAAAGTCATGTACCAACACTTACAATTTCTATTTTATGTGGTATGTATCTAATATGTTGTGATTAAACATGTCAATCTTGATAATCAAATTGAAGTCAATAGGATGATTCAAAAGAATTTTATTGCTAAATTTCACTTCAAAGATACAACTTTCCCTTTTGAAAAAGAAAAAAACACTTATTCCATCCCTCTTGTCTAGGGTGAAACCTTGCATTAGTAATAATAATATTTTTGTACCCATCATTGATTCAATTTGGAGCCAATATGGTATTGGTTTCTCCATGTTCAGAGTTCCCTCCATATCCACCAGTTTCAGAAAAACAGTCATATGATAATCTTTCGACTTGTCAGATTTAATTGTACTAGTTGAAAGTGCAAGTACTTGAAACTAGGACAATGAGCGCAAAATTTCTTTTATCCACAAGCATGTATGGGAAGTGTGTCTCTAATTCTGTGAAATTATCAACTCATGCTTACCAAATGTAGTATCAGCTAGCACCCATTCAACCAAATATTATATCATTCATGTTAGTGCCACATTTCACATTCATTAATTTGATGTAGACCTTATTTGAAAAGGAAAGTGAATCCCCTAGTCCAATTTTACAGTTGAAATCAGGAAACACCTCCAGATCTGGCATTGTATTTTTCCCTTACATATGAATGTATCTATTTGGGAATCTAAATTCAAACCTCCCCAATAATTTTATATAAACTCTATCTCTCATATTCTAATACACTTCAACATACTATGTAAGTGAGATTTAATCTGCCTCATACAAACAATCATTGAAATTTATGCTAGAAATTTCATCAAAGAAAAAATAAAGCTGAGGTCCACAAGAACTTTTGTAAACTGATGCAAATTTTATCAGGTGGCTACACAAATGTAAAAAAACCTCAACTGCTTCACATGTAATTTGCATTTAATAGGGGGTATCAAATATAGGAAATCCACCATTAGAAACCAGTCACTTTTTTAAAAATATTTTTTTGCATCAATGGGCCCCAAAAGGGGTTAAATGAATAACCAACATGTTTAAAAAAGGGTGGATTTTTTCAAACCAGTCAATTAAATAATGGTGGATTTGGTTATATTTGATACCCCCTAATATGAACTAAGTTTATGATCATATAAAATTGAAGGATTTTTTTTCATACCCTCCTACAAAATAATAATGAGATTATAATCTCACCACTAGCTGTGGAAGGGATCAAATAGTGATAAAATGATTTTTTTTTTCAAGAAGTCTCTTTAGTATTTTATAGAAGAGAATTTTTATTCCCAACAAAATTTCATTAAGCTTGGCAGCTTCCCAGGTCCATTCAGGATATTATTTTATCCTAATTATATGTGCCATTGAAAGTATAGTGGGAGAAAAAGTGTGTGATATTCAATGAAATTGATGTAATAAAACTAATGTGAAATCAGTGGTGGCCTTTTTATCCCTCACTGATTATAGTCACCAAGATATTACACTTAGAAGATTAAGATGTTAAATCAATACAACCTAACTTTCTTAATGCACAAATCAAGATTAATTTTTACACCTACAAGTGCTTTTCAGACTGTTATTGCTGCCAATCACAAACATAAATGAATGATTTATGATGCTTCCATCCCACAGTAAAATAAAAAAATAAGACTGTACTAAAAATTGCCACCCCAAAGAATTGAATAAAGATAAGGTTCAACACTTGGAATAAACTTTATTATTCCTAGATCAAATCAAACATTGAAGCATAAACTTTATGTTTAAACATCTATGAACTTATAAATTTTTATACTAAGGCTTCAGGAAGGTCAGCTGATTGAATATCTCACTGGCTTCCTAAAGGGCAAAGATTTTCCAGAATTGTGAAAAAAAGGATAAAATAAAAGAATGAAACTGAACAAATGTTATGATTAGTCATACTAGATTCATATAGAAGAAGAAAAAGTGTCATTTATGCCCTGGTAAAAGGTCAAGATTGTGATTAGTTGTTAAGAGAAATATGTATGACCAAGGATCCATCAATCAAAGTTGAATTGATCACCAGCTGATGTGTATCATCAGATTCATACCATTCAGATGGAAAAAGAGGTGTTTTTGCCAGTGAATTCTTACCCATTTTACTCATGAACTATTCAATTTTGTTTCCAAGCTTCTCTTAATTTTCATCCTGTGAGATCCCCACCAGCTGGCTTGATGCATCAAGTTCCACCATGTGGTTAATTTATTCATGTTACAATTATTTGTTCTTTACTTCAACTTGTTTGACATGTCCAGAGTTAATTTTACAAAGATTTCAATCTGAGTTTTTTTTATTTATTTATATATACTATTCCTTTTCCATGACTTGACTCTAACCATCAACCAAAAATTTCCATAATAGAAATAGATTGTCTTCAAACTCATATTTGGGCTTAGCTGTCAATAATAATTTGTTTGGATGATCAACAGATCAAACCATCCCCACATAAATTTTGGTTGTCTGAAGGGGAGAACTAGTCAGGTTCAGGTTAAAAAGTTTATTTTTTCATCAGTAGTGTTGGAATAACTGAAAAATTAAAAGATGAAGATGGAATGAATTTGAGAGACCAGTTCTTGAAAGAAATATGAGGATACACAACTAAATAGTTTTTAAGGTGATTATTTTCACCTTGCCACTTCAAAGATTCTAGAATAAGTTTCCACATGTTAAGTATTTTGTCAATACAGGAAAAATGAATATAACACAATCTGTTTTTCTAAGACAAAGAAGTGGTGATTGATTTTTGGATAACATTGTCTATGAAACTCCAACAAAAATACATCAAATAGGTTTCATTAAATCATAAGGAAAAGCTTTCAATTCATTCATTCATTTTTTTGAGTAGTTCACATGATAAAATTCTAGGAAAAATCCTAAGGTTCAAGGAATATTTTTAAATTATGCTATGCCACAAGTTGAAGATTTATGCCATAGGTTCAGGCAGCTTGGTAATTTCAGTTGTTTTTCAATATCAAACATCATCCAAGTTTATTGAATATTTTAGTCAGATGTAGGTCATTGTTAGATAATGAAAGTCCAGAAAATTTCACACTATGAGAGATTTTTAATCAGTGTTTGAAAGGGCCGGAGAATTGGAGATGATTGGTATGGAGAAATTTTTCAATTTGAAAAGAAAGCAAAACATGAAGGATGTTTTCATATTTGTGTTTCTTCATTTTTATTAGTGCCTGTTTGGCTGGCTTTTGGGAATAAATTTCAGGAATTCTTGTTACAGGTCCAGGAAATAAACCAGTTAATTAGGGTATATCATACCCACTATCAAATTTCATACCTTCTTTATCTATTGTACCTTCCAATAAAAAAAATTGAAAAATGACATGGTGAGCAGCCAGAAGTCATGGATATATGTTTTATCCTATTTGGTTGGAGTATTAAAAAAATTTAGGTTTCCAAACAAATCATAGATGTCACCACACTTGACTTTAAAATATATGAAATGGATTACATGTATATTTATATATTTGATTTGTAAAATGTTGCTAGGTTTCAGTTTAATGATCAGGACAATACATATATCTATCCATATATATAGATATAATCCACAGACACACACACACACACACACATATATATATATATATATATATATATATATATATATATATAATATTGTATGAGGAGGGGTTCCCATTTTTAAAAATATCAGCAAAATTTTCAAGGTGGAAACTAGCAGAGCCACTTGAGGTTGGACACTTATAATTGGCAGCCACATCAACCATTTTTCAAGTTTTTTGAAACCATAAAGCAGAAATTTTGTCTAAAATAAAGTGGATTTTATGCAAGTGTGAACCATCCTATCATATGTATAATTAAGTATATATATATAGGAAATTAACAGATCTATCTGTTCAAAATACTCTCCAGGGGATAAGATAAGATATTTTATGATAACTGAAAGATCTGAAGCTTCCAGATATTGATAAATGGGAGATGTCGTAATTTTAATAAAAAATTGATTTTTCCAGGCTATTTATTGTCATCATATTGTCTGAAATTTATAAAATAGAGCTCAATTTTTTGAAAAAAATGTCTGATCAGATATAATTAATTTCACTTATTTGAAGGGTGGCTGGTACATTGAATTGGAAATCCTGGGGAGTAATGATTAATGTACTTGCTCCCCAAGATATGTCACCAGGCATTTTGCCTATTGTAGTGAGCTGTCAGAATGCTGGAAAGTTTGTGGGGAATACTGGAAATTGTGTGGGGCATTAGGATTGAGGGGTTTGATGCCCAAGGTCTGGGGAGATTTATGCAATATTAGAGCTTCAAACCTTGAATATTAGTAAAAATTGGTAAAAATTGGCTGGAAAATTGAATATTCAGAATTGGGTTAGTTGGGGGATGTTGGCTTGAAGAAATGAGACATGGAGGTCAACAGTTATTCAATATGAACTCTTGAACAAAAGAGTATTTGATTATGGTGGTTGAGTAGCCACAATGGGATGAGAGCAGCTTAATAATCAGCTATAGCTAGATTAATAGATTGACTATGTGGATCATGAAAATTAATTTCAAAGATTCAAGGTTATTTGAGGCAAGGACATTTCAAAATTAAAACAAGAGTACAAAGAACATCAAACATAGCGGGGTAAAAGGTGAATAGTTACAGGCAAGTGTACAGGATGAAACAAACATAAAGAGAGATGTATTTCTAGCACTTCTCATCAAATTAGCCAATTTTTTCTCAACCTCAACATGTCCAAATCCCCCCCTTTTTTCTTTTTTCCTAATCCATAAGACATGACATGAAAATGGGAAATTTCTATTGAGTGTACCAACTTGGGGAAATGAATTTTTTATGACCATCAATGAAGTGTAGATGGATTATAAAGTAGCTGTTGCCATGCTTGTTGAATTTCATATCTCAAACTATATTCTTTGTTTAGTTTTTTGTAAACCCTCCTCATCTGGCATCATCATCATAAACATGGACCATCTTTGATAGATTTTAATTCCTAGGTTAAAAAGCAGAGAAACATGTCACTTAAAAAGAAGAAATCAATTGGAAGGCTATATATAAATCAGAGGAATGACAGAAATAAGAGAATATAATAATAAATTGTACTATTTAGAAGTTGATCTTTGGTTTTTACACAAGGTTGCATGTTGTATGACTTCTTGGCTTTGTCCTTTTAAATCAAGAGCAACATTAGCTAGTTTTTTGTTAATTTGAAAAGAGCAGCCAAAGTGGGTCCAGGACCGATTATGTGGTTGGGGAAGAAAAGGAGGAGTTTTGGTTGTGCGGTGTTCAAACTGAGTGGTTTGCCAAACTAGCTCTACAATACCATTTGAATGTACAAAGTCAATGAGATAAGGGTGTCTAGGAAATAAAAATCCATGTCCCTCCTTATTGTGGGGCGGAGGGATTGGTTCACCTGTGGTTCTATCTATGAATGAAAATATACCGTAGGTCCAGCCGTTGAGATCACCCTCATCTTGATGAGCTTTGTTGTAAAAATTGTCGAATGTGACTGAGACATTTGAGGCAAACTTATACTCCACATCCTCCTCCTTCCTCATTTCTGACCATTCCTCCTGACTCCAATTGGGGATTCCGTAGTCACACATGATGGATTGGTTTTCTTGATAGGCGCTAGAACAGAGGGATTCCATACGGCGGGCAAGAAAATCGTTGTGAGATTGGAGCTTCTCCCAAAGCTGGTCGTCCTTAGCCTCTTCTTCAGGTGTTAAGTCATTCCGTACATATGTTCCTGCAGGAATGCATCAGTGAATTGTTGGGTGTACTTGAATTTGAAGGAGTTGAAGTTACGTACCACCTCTTTTACCCCTATCAGAAGCACAACGAAAGCCAATCATACGCATCTCTCCGCCCAAACGTTTTGTATTCATTGTGTTTGTGGGCCTATTTTGGGCCATTTGATAGAGGGTTTTGATGACATTGGAGAGTTCTTGAAACTCATGTGTCGGAGGTTTTATGTCGAATGGATGACGTTCGAGGATAAAATGAGGGACACCGCCTGAACTCGTGACGAGGTTGCGAGGGCGGTTCAAGTTAGGTAGAATCTGAATGGGTTTATCGGAGTTTATTTTTTTCAAAGAAATCGAGGTTGGAAGTATCCAAACATTATCATCGCATCCCAACTTCTTTTGTAATCTAGCAATCTTCTTGGCGGTTCCTGAGGCATGCTTAGGCGGCGGATTTCTCGACTTTGGGGCTTCCGGATTTTCTGATGAATGGATTGACGACGAAACCACACTTGACCCCTTATAATCCTGGTGGTCAAGGGCCATACGCCCATTGAGCAGACCAGGATTACCCAGGGCCAAGGGGCTTGGAGGCGGATGAGTTGATGATTGCGAAACTGCCGAAGGATTGACCACTCTTCTCCCTTTAAATTCCTGGTGATCAAGGGCCATGCGCCCACTGAGAGCACCAGGTTTACCCGGGGAGAAGGGGCCCTTCCTCTGCTGAGCTCGGAGTTGGCTTTGTCGCTTGGTTCTTGTCATTGAGTTTTGGCCAAGCGTATAGAGAATCCCTTGCAAGAAGTTTTATCGGATAGTAGAGGAATAAACTGTTAAAGATTTGGTCAGTATCTAGTCAAAGATATTACTTCATATCTCACAATTAGGACAGGTCAAGTTTAATGGGAAATTACCTAAGCACACTCCAGCACGAGATCCAAGTTAGGTGCGAGAATATTTTAAAGTTGATCTGAATGTGGGACATCCAGATAGAAAGGAGCAATGATAAGCGACCAAAAGTAGGAAAAAATCAAACCCTTAAAATCTTTGAAGATGAAATAACATACCACATGTCTTTCCCTTTACTGTAGGGTGGCCTGAAGGTTGAACGGTTGGGGAAACCAAGAGCCATAGTTCATTAACTTATGATTAAGCAGGTGGGGTCTCTGGAAAAATGGCAGATTGAGGGCTTACAAATATATGTGCGAGATTTTATTTCGAGAAACTGTTGCTAAAAATCTCGTGAACAAAGTGGCTAGGCAGAATGAGATGATCAAATCATAGTTCAGTTAAGCAAATTCAGTTTGCCGGGAGTGTTGACAGGAACTCGGGATGAAAGGGGTTCTATAGGAAATGGACTGTATAGAATCGTGAAACTCACCTAGTGTTGGTTTTATGCTCCTGAATTATATGGAAGGAGAGGATTGTTGAGGACCATGGTTAATGGTTTTGCAAGAAGAATTGTTCGGGTGGTAAATGATATGTAAAAGGATCACATACAATTTGTTGACCGTTCACTCCTGACAAGGTTGACATCAAAGATGTTAAAGTTCATTAGAAGATTAAAAGGAGAAGAATAAAACATCAATGGATTTGTTGTGAAGATGGTTGGAGAGCGTAGGCAGTAAAAGAGAAAGGTTTGTTCAACTTACGAGTTAGAAACGACTTGTATATTCGCTTAACAACAAACGATTGAACGATTGATAAGAATTTTGAGTAGATGAATTGGAAATCGAATCGGCTATGCGTCTAGAAGCCGAGAAGGTATCCTCAATTGATATAAGTTCAGGAATCAAGATAATGTGACTGATGACTCACTGGGTGTTGTGGTGATAAAAGCCTGTGTGATACAATCAAACGATTAATGGAATCGCCTCGCAATATGAATCAAATAACGATCTAAATGGAATTCCGATTCAAAACAAGCAAAAGCGATTGAAAGCGAGGAGAACAAACCGATTAAATGAGGAAGAAGACCTGAAGGAAAACCCCCGGAAGCGATCGGTGGAATCTACCGATCTTCTACAAGAAAATGAATCGATTGTTAGACTACTTGGAAGGAAGGGAAGGGGGTGAAGTGTGATGAGAGATGAGAAACGACTTACTTGGTCTGAGGGTATTGAGGGGAAAGTCCGAAACGATGTGGAGTTTAGTTTGTGAGATGAGTAACTTAGATCTATTTGAAAAGCAATCTCTTGAAAGGAAGTGAGTTAGTGGGAGGGTGCACTAGATGGCCAAGAGAATGATATAAAGAAAGGCAGCTTACCAGCGATGAGATTTGGATCGGAATTCAAGTTGAGACAATGCTGAATACAGGAAGTCGCAGTTTTGGAGGGAAAAAACGGGGAGGACTTTCACAAAGTAGTTAGACCCTCTGGGAAATGCAAAAGGAGGCCAATGGTGACATGTGTAAAATTTGCCTCTCACCGCTGTGCCACAGTAATTACACATCACCCTGCCCAACTCAATAATTTGACATATTCCTTTCTACATAATAATTTATGAGCTTTGTCAGGTGTAGCAGCAAAACTAATTTTTTTTCCAATCAAGACAAGTTAATTTGAAGGATTGGAATGAGGTGGGCATGGTCCCATCAGTAAATTGATGGGTAAATAATGATAATTATTCTCTATTTGTCATTCTTAGTTGGGTATGTGAATTCAGATCTAATATATTTTGATCATATATAAACCTAGGTGTAGGAACTCTAATTGTGTGGGGAACTAAGGTGACTATTCAATGCTAGCAATGCAAAATTGAAGGTAAAATAATTCCTGTAGACAAGCAAAGTAGGTTGGGTTTGAGAAATGACTGATGGCCAGATTGAACACCATTTAGGGGGTCAAATTATTTGGAAAGAAAGATGTAAAATTGGAAAGTAAACAATTTTGGACAGTGGTAAAAGGGTGTATTGACTGCAGGGGGACAGGATAGTATGAAGGGTCAAGTTAGCATACCATCAGTTGTCTGGGAGTATTCAAGGAAATTTTGAGTAAAGACAAAGTCCCAGAAGTATCAATCCCCCTGAACAGTAATGAAGATCAGCTAAAGTGGACAGATAATAATGATGTGGGTTAACAATCTCCCTGACGTGGCCTTTTTTTTGGCAGGCAGGTAGGCATTATCAAAGATGGTCAAGATGGGTAAGAAAAATGGAGGTTAGAAACTCAAATGTCAGTCCAGTTGGTTAAGTTTACACTCTTGATATACAAAATGTGAGGAGAGGGAGGTGAGGTTTGATTTTTATGAAGGTCAAGTTAAGAGCTGAAGATTGCAGAATATTTAGAATGTATTGAATTTGATAGGGGTAAATTAATTATTTGAGGAGTTTGATTTTGGTGCTCTTGTATGTTCTGTTCCAAATGACCCATAGGTGGGAACAGTTGAGGAAGTATTTGATTATGTCCAACAATTGGCCCAATCATATCTATTATCAAACTATGATGAAAATTAATTTTTTACGTTGGCTTCCACCCACAGAAACCACCCATCATCAAGGATGGATATACAAATAGGGGTATTGGTTTCATTTGTAGGAAGACAAATTAAAAATTCAGATCCACTAGTATCATATCAAGAATCTATCCTCTCATCAAATAATTCATAACTCTAAATTATATAGAAATTTAGAACCACTAAGTATATAAACCCTCCTTCTGCCAAATTAAGCCCGGCGGGCTTAAATATGTCGAAAAATAAGAAACCCTTTGTTGGAATGTTTGAATGGTAAATGCCAAATAATGTTTAAAATTTTAAATAAAAATGCGTAATAAAATCACATTAAACATCCTAAATTGAAAGGAAAAATTGGCCTATCTGTTCCTGTTAATTGAAACCCCACGGTCCAGTATTGAAGAAAAGTGGGGGGTAACCACGAATTGTGGAAGATTCAACTTATACAAGGAGTATGAATATGTGTATTGATGGTACAAGGATAGAATTACATGCAATTAATCAGAGGGATGGAATCAACATTTGATTAGAGAAGTGCTTTGATTCAGTGATTCTCGAACTATTTTTTTGAAATTTTTGGCTAAGCCCACTGCAACCGTTTTGATATCTCTTGGCCCGCCCAAAAAAAGCAAGGAGGTTTGAATTTGAGACCACCAGAAAGCAAAGCCCTCAAAATTTAAGACCGCCGGGCTTAAATGTAAGGTGAAAAGGTTTTGGATTACCCCATTTATAAATTGAACTGCCAAGGGAGGAAATTTCAAATAAATTCATCATAGCACAACAGTCTCATTAAGCCCGCCGGTCTTATTTGATGTACTGCACCTCTCAGGAATAAGGAAGAGGGAATAGGAAAACGGATAATCAAATATTTCAAACTAAATTTCAGGTTTTGAATAAACTATTTAGTGGGGAGGGTATTACAACTGGGAATATTAAAGGAAGTGGATTCTCCTGTTGTATAGTTGATATAATCATGAGCAATACATGTGGCTAACATATGGCGGGTTGGACAGATAAATTTGGAAACATCGTGAGAGAAATCTTGAACAGAAGACAGGATTTTACGGATGTATGTACCAAGGTTAAACCATATTTTCTCGGAGGCAGAAGAACCAGTATTTGATACCTTGTATATCTCATGGAACAAACAGATAATTTCAAGACAGTCGCTTATAGTATATTGTCTGTGGTCTCGAGTGGCATTGAAGAGTCCACGGACACCTCCAAGGAGGTAGTAAACAAATGGGAAATAATTATGTTTACTTTCGATTTTTGATAGACTACTATGTTGATCTGATTTTTGAACTGTTGTTGTATCTGAGGAAGTTTTTCGGGACTTATTCTTTTTCCGTGGGTTGAACTGCTCGTCAATGTGTGCTTGGATGATAGTATATGACATCATCAGATCAATTATCATCTTTCTAAGGTCGTCCAATGCATCATCGGTGGATAATGGAGCGCAGGTGTTGAGTTGTTGATTCGTACTTTGTCCATCAGTATCATCTCCCTCCGTAAGTCGTGGAAGGTTGGGCATGGTGTTCTTCATCGTGTTAAGCCAGGTCAATACAATAAGATGTCGTTCCATGGAGTTTGGTTTACTTTCGATTCTAGGCGCCTGGGGATTTTCATCGGATATATGTTGTATTGACAGGGCAACACTCTTGGCCCATTCACGGATAAGCCGAGGGTTGGGTGTGTTGATTAAGGATACAAGAGCTCGAAAAATGTTGGACTCTGGGTGACTGGCTTTTGAATTGAGTGGGAGAATCGGGTTGGCTGATTGGATTTGCTTCTTCAATAGCTCCAAGTCGAGGACATCTGGACTATACCATGGTTCGGATTCTGAGAAGGAAAGCATAGAATTACCTACAATTTTGTATCAAAAATAAGTCAGTCACATATTAATTGAAAAAAGATGGATGTGTTATGGACAGTGGGAACACTTACTCGATTCACAAATTTCTTTGATCCAACTCTCGTGATTGAATTGTGCATTATTATAGACGAATGAGGCAGTGGGAATCTTGGAAATCTCTGGTGAGGTCAACCGAAACTTCAACATGGGGCAAAGTGAATTCCAGCCTCTCTCCCACTTCGTCTTTGAGACTCGACCTTTCTGGACCATTCTGCCAACTCCTTCAATTCTGAACGAAGAGAATCACCTGGAATAAGAGTAAAGTTTTCTAGGGTGATTATTTCGGGGATGTTTGGCGAGGTGTTTGGGGATTCAGGTCCTGGGTTGGGTGTGGAGGGGGTTTGTGGGGGTGGTTCGTCGGGATGATGAACTTCATTTGACTCGGGGTCTTTTGTCTTCTCTGGCTCTTTCTCCTGTTCCTCAGACTCACTGGTATCTTCAGAGGAGGTGGTGATGGTACTGAGGGATGAGGAACGAGCTCGCTTGGGTGGGGGTGAGTGGGATTTATCGGTAGTTGGCGGTTCAGAAGAAGCAGGATTTCCTGGACGCTTTTTTTTTGGATTCATGACTGGGAGAAGTATTCTTGTCTTCACTAGATGTTATCTGGGATCTTGATTGTTTCTGGGTTTTTCTCTTAGCACCCTTAGAAAGGGCACGGGTCGAAGTGACATGCTTTCTCCTTTTTGGACGAGAGGTGGGATCCTTTGAAGCTGTGGAAGGTGCTTCAGATTGGTCTTCAGGAGGAGGAACAGTTTCTTGGGTTTGGTCAGTGGGATCTGGGGTATTCGCGGGATCGATTATCTTGGAAATCTGATTTTGGTTTTGAGAAGCTGAAGAATCTTCAGACGCATTGTTGGTCGATTTAGTCGATGAACTGGAGATGTGCGATGTGATGGAAACCGGTGGCTGGCTGGTCTTCTTTGGCTTGTATGTCCGATTAGAGGTAGCTGAAGTTGAGGAGCGGGTAATGGCAGGTTGGGAAGCTGGCTTGACCGAAAGGCATTCATCGGCTGGTAGGGCCTTGTTTTCCTCATAATCTGAAATAATAATCTCAGTGATTTGAAACCAAAACTTTGAAGAAAGAGCTGGCATAGCTTTGCAGATGGTGTCGAGACGAGATATGATACCCTCAACGTCCTTACGAATTGACTTGGGGATTCGTAATTGAGAGCAAGTTTTGGCAAGCTCTTGGATCTTTCCAACGTTATTCAAGAATTCTTCTTCACTGATTTCTTGAATTTCAGACGCAAGGAGTGGCTCGCCAGAGGAGATTGTTGAATCCAAGGGTTGGAGTGTGGGGGATGGTTGAGTCGGTTTGGGAGATGGGAAAGACATTTTGTACAAATTGGGGTCTTATAGGATGTGGGGTAGTAAGAAAAGTGATGGATGAGAATTGGGAATACACTTAATACGCTTAATCTGCGAGAAGGATAAACTGACCAGGTGGTGGGGTGGAGTCAGGGATGGTTCGAGAGGTTTTTTCCAATTCGGGTGAGACTTGGTTGGGCCCAGGGACTGTTTGGTTAAGACTTGTATCTGTCATTCTAATCCGTCAATTAGGGGAAGTGACATTTGAAAAGATGAGTATTTGTAGTAATGGGTGGGTCAAATTAATATGTCGGAAGTTGTGTTGAGGAATTGATAAATGATTGATGGATTGAGAGGAGGGAGGGAAGAAACTCACCAGAGGTCATCTCTTAAGAAGGATCGATCCAAGCAAAGTCCAACAACAAAGGGCATGATTGAGTGGGAATTGGTCAGCTTTGATTGGGGATTTATGCAAGAGTGACATGGTGACGTGCTATTGTTTGTTGAAGGATAGTGCATCAAAGGAGGAATCTTATTTGTGGGTGATTGGACTGGGCCAAAGACATGTCAGCAAAAGGATAGATTCTGAGTAGATTTCAAAGACAAACTCGTAGATCCCACAGGGGTATTGACCATGCATCACTGTTTTTTCTACCAATTTAAGTTTATTTCAAGATGCGTCAGGAATTTTCATGACTAATATCCACTGTGCATGAGCATGCATGTTCAGAGAGAGTATCAATGACTCACAGAGTTAAAATTTGGGATTAGATGGTTAAGTTCGAAATTGAAACACCGTGAGAGTATGGGAATTTCATCCTTTTTTTTGTGGTTTATTCTGCAAAGAGTTTACATATTGCATACGGGCATGCAAGATCTTTGCCAGAAGGTAGAAAATAGATTAAAACCAACCGCTAGTGGAGTTTAATTTCCACCCATAGCATCCCCACTTGTACAAAATGACAAGCAAATCTCTGGGGTTTCACCTTAATGATTAAGCCCGGCGGGCTTAAAGATGGCCGGACTGCAACATGTCCAAGGTCTGGCCAAAATGGAAAATTGCCAGGGCTTTTTAAGACCGCCGGGCTTAATACACAACACACCGACCCAGCGGGCTTATGAGCCACTCCCAGGTAAAATCATACGATTGGGATAAATGTTTTGTTTGAAACAAAACCTCATTATTATTGGATAACACAGGTGATTCTTTCATTCAGCTAATCAGTTCCAACCAAAGGTGATATTCTGAGATGATAGATAGCAGCGGAGAAAATAAACCATATCCACAAGAGCAGGGGCAACACGGCTATCTGGCTATGAGGGGATGACTATTTTTGTTTACTTTGAAATACAAGTGATGATCAGAATACGGAACCATAGTTTTTTTCTAAGGAATTGGGGGCACACCTGACTCGGGCCTTCATAATTGCTTGTGGCTTCCTTGGGGGTTTTGTTACCCCTCAATTGATCCTTCTTCCCAGGGCTGGATCCAGGGGAGGGTGTATCGTTCCAGGGTCTTACCACCGGCTCTACAATAGGGATCATAGAAAATGTCAATATATAGAAACTCTGTATTATAAGTAAGATAACACTACCTTTACCCAACATGACACGTCTTTCAGTCCAGATTTCCATGAGTCAAGGTACCTCGGAGATGGGGATCCCTAAATTCCTTTGCCTCTTCTTCAGCCTTGGCCTGGAGACGTTTGGCCTCGAACCAGTTGCCAGCGTCGATACTTCTTTGATAATAAGGACTTTCGGGTCCTAGTCGGCAAAAAAGAGGATGATGATCGGAGGTTGGATCAAGAGGTTCCCAGCGTTCAACAGTTAGAGACATGGTAAGGCGCATATCTTCAAGCCACTCATAATGACGTTCGATTTCATTCTCTTTCGCAGTATATTTAGCTGATTTACTGGGGGATTTTTTTTGGCTAGGACTAGACATGGTTTTTGAAAAGTATTGAAATTCTAATCCAAGGATGATCTGTGAGCCGAAAGAATTACACCAAAAAAGGATCGGATTTATATCTAAAAAAGGCCAGGAATTTTTATGGGGGCTTACATGAATGAGCCAACATTCCAAGTTGGAAAATTCTAACTCAATTAATCTAGGCTTGGTATTTGGGTATTAGGTGAGATTCATCCAATTGAATCGTAGGATACGAGCTGAATCAAGAACTGCTGCACTCTTGCAACTCTTGGGGGGGCTAGACTGGAATAAAATTATGTAGGTTTGCAGAGGGTGTGGAAGAAGCAATGCATCCCCACCTGAAATCCTGTTCTATCCAAATAATCTAATGTGTCTCGTCATCAAGAAACATGCATAAATTGGGTCATATTTGGGAGGAGAAAGCTCATCTTTGCATAAGGGATTTACACTAGATTTGGGGGAGGATTGTCAGATCACTTCAAAGAAACTCGGTTGGTGGGACTTGCATGAAGAAATTACCAATTGGAACCTGCAAGATGATGTCACTGGAAATCTGTTACATCGGGGGATTTAGATAGGCAGACATGAGGTGTAACCCCTGTGTATCCTTCCGGTATCCATGCCATCAGGACATGGATACGTGTTGGATAACAAGTGGGAACAGAGGGGTGACATACAAAGACCTTCTGTCCCTTGAAGCATATCCCTCCAAGACTTGATATGTTACCGCCAACTATGACGAGCGTGTGGTAAATTCTCTCCAAAGGGTCATGTTGGTAATACATCACCTCTTCAGCTCACATCAAATCACATGAAGCCCTTAGCCAGACAAGTCACTCAGCTTTCATGATGAATCACAATATATAAATCCCAGGGGCTTTGACTTGTGATTTAATTTTGCCTCACCCCGAATATACTATGCTGCACATAAGGATTCTGACGTATTTTGTATTCGTCCAAACAGCTTAAAAAAGGGGCACAGTTTGAGTGATTTGAAGCATAATCTAGCATCAGCAAGGGCTTCATGCAGGCCAAGGACTGATGAATCATTTGATATGTAGAGAAGATTGCACCATTTGTGGGTTTTAGTTGGTAACTCGGACTCAACATCATGACTTGACCCTTGCAGATGACACACCTAACACAGATGATCACGGAGGGCTTCAAAATCCCTCAAATCGATTATGCAGCTGATCAACAGATTACTTGTGCAGGAAGAATCATTCCAATTAACTTCAAGCTATGTTGCTTCGATTTGCATATGAAAAATGTCAAAAAATTCATTTCGATCATACATGTTTTTTTGGTTCCGACCATTTGAAACCATGATTATTGTCACATGCAAGCACTCATTTTCCGGCCGATCATGTTAGCTCACCCATGTCTCATCGTCCATGGGAAGTTATATTCTCTACTGTACTGTGTAGTTTGAGAGTCATTTTGAGCCTCAGCCTTCTCTATCTACAGATAGACAACCTTCACAGCTTCCATAATAAAAACCCCCCTGAAGCTTCTTTTTTACCGTCCCTCATCATCCTCTAGACAAACCATCAATTCTCAAGCTGAGGTTACAATTTAATTAGTGCTATAAGATGACTACCATATCCTATCTATACCAAGCAAGAGATAGGGTTCAATTCCTAAAAGAAGCTGTTTTGTCTTTTGAAGCCATGGTTGCCTTAATGGAGCCGGATAATCTTGAAGGCAATGAATCTACAGAGAGGATGTCTGTTACCAATTGTAGCTATGCGCGTCAAATTGAAGAAGCCCAGAATGCCATCTCCCAACGTAGCATGGAACGTAACATTCCCTATTATGCAGTTCCTGATGCCTTAGTGATTTGGAATATTCGTAGAATGCGCTTGGGTAGAGGTACTTCAGTCATATACTACAAAAACTGTAAATTCTTGACTAACATTTCTGATGTCAGATCCAATCAGAATCCATGGCTGGAAAACCAAACACGAGCGCAGATTACAAATGAGCACTTTCAACAATCAAGGCAATTGATACGCAGGCCCCATGGATTACGAGTTAAAGCTAACTGAAATGTGAGATATTTTTTGGATGAACTTTTCAGGATACATAGTGTTACTCTTACAAGATATAAGCAATTGAACCTAGCCATATGATTGATTGATTATCCCTCATTGTATTTTGTAGGAATCACGGCCATTAAAATCAAGCTGCAGGATTTTTGATCTGAAAGTCTGAATTGCTTCGATGGGTCTTCATTCTTATACTCGTCATCTTTTCACCTTGGTTCATCTTTCCAAACCACTTTGCTTCATACCCAAACAATTCCCAGCTATACTTATTTCATATGAGATCGATAGTAGATTTGGTCTTTATGGAAACAGATTACTTGTTTGGCCAATTTCCATGTGGTTTACATATGTGGTTTGTGTGCTTAAACTCAGAGTCTTGGTACAACTGAATCAATTTGAGTCAACTTGCCTATTTCCATTTGGCCTGCATGTGGTATTTCTTTTGAAACCCTGGAATCAACGGTGCCACAGATACGAGACATGTATTTGTATCGGATCGTATCGTATTTATTTTGAGCCTGATACAGGTATCAGTATTTCCTTGGTTGGTGAAAAAATACATTGTATCGGATTTGGATTTAAAAATGAAAAAAAAAAAAATTCGTCTTCGTTTTTTTTCGTTTTTTCTTCAATACAGCCAAATATCTTATGTATCAAATACGGTTTTGGTGGGATCAGTCATCTGAGACGATACAGAATACATTTCTCACTTTTCAAATACGATACATGTATATGTCTCAGGAAAGTGAGACAACACAAATCCGGTATTTTTGGGTATTCCAATTCTGAGACGATACAGATAAACGCCTGATACCGTATCGTATCGTCTCTGTGGCACCGTTGCTGGAATTACCATACCTCAATGTTGTATTAATCCAAGTGAGTTGAGTTTGAGACTACAAGACCCCTCACATACTGGAATGACGATTCATATACCCACTAGCCTTGTTGGATTAGGTATACTAGTCCCATTTATGTGATGGGCACAAAGCTCTCACCAGTATGCTTTGATACGTCTCATGCATTATTGTTAAATATTTTAAGAAACTTTGCCCATTGAGAAGAGGTCAGGAGATCAATTTTAAATTACTTAATCTTGAGGTTTTACAGCTGAAAATATGACTTGTGCCATGTGTTATATTTCTGAAATCCACATATACCAAAATTCAGGAATCAAAAACATTCCTGAATTATCTGATGATAAGAAAGTAGTCATCCTCCGAAAACAACCCAATGGTCTTCTCAAGGTGAAGGTAGAGATCCCAAAGCAAAAGTCCGTAATCATTCTCACCTCTGGCTTGAAGAAATAATTCCTAAGGATATAGCCACCATGAAAAGATGGTCTCTTATAAGAGAAATATAATTACTAATGCCTGGGGATTAGGCTTACAAAAATATGGACTTTCCCTTAAAACTTGATTGATCTTAGCATGGTGTCAAGACTGGATAACCGAAAGTTCCTATCTAAAGCCTATCGCTTTTTATAGGGGTAAATTGTAGTTTGTTGTCCAAAAATTCATCTCATCTGAGGAGTGGCCCATGCTATCTTTGTATTTTACTACCAAGTAACCATTAATTTCAACACACAAACAAATGATTTAACATCATTGCTTAACCCAGCCGAACTATCCTCATGGAACACAGGGCTCAAGCCCGGCGGTCTTAATGGACCATCCTTAAGCCCGCCGGGTTTAATTTCATGACTCATAATGTTAAGTTTCCCCATAAGCAAAGCTCCCCACAAACAGATAGGAATTTAAATATAGTTGAATCAACTCTGGTGGTCAGTCATTCAATCGATCTCATAAGAAAACAGTTGATAAAATACACTAATATATATTTCAGTTCTGTTCACTTCCTACTTCTCTTTTTGTTATTTGTTTCCGGACTACTCAATTTTAACGTCTTTGGAGTAAATTTCCCTTTACCTAACCAATCAAGTGACTCAAGTCAGTTTTTTTTTATTTGATTCACAAATCAAAATGTGACCTACTCAACTGCCTGTGCTAGGGCCCGGCAAATTACCAATTCCAAGATCTCCAATACTTCCTCGGGGAATTTGACTCACACCGGGTCCAATCCGCATAGTCATCTGGTTTAACATCCAGGCTTTGGCCTCCAAACCAATTTCCTTCTGAGGGTCAAGGTGATCTTTTTCGACTTGCGAGAGACTTTGAAGGAATGTGGCATCGTAGGCATCAATTGGAAGCCTTCGTGGGATAACAGCAAGCGGAGTTGTTGAATTTGTAATTAATTCAGGGCTACGGTCCACAAGCTTATGGATAGTCTTCATTTCGGTAGTTGTTTTTGCGACTGTTATCGCAATCTCATCTAGTTTATGCGAACATAGACTGAATGCTTCGCTCCTCCAAGCTAGTTGTATACGCTTTGGTTTTGCTGGAACCGGTTGATCTTCCCAATCGGATACAGCCTCTTTAGAGAATAAGACTGCCAGATTTGGTTCGGCTTTCATCTTTGTAATGGCAAGCCCTTGTCTTTTGTTTGCAATCTTCATACAAAAATCATTCAGTAATTGGCCTGGAGATATGTTTTTAGCAGAAGTGACTTACTTTAACTTTCATACGGCTTATTGCAGCCTTCCTTGACTTCTCAGCCTTCAAGTCTTCCGGTGATTGGCCATTTGTCTGGTGAGCCCGTCTAATTTCTTTTCCTTGGCCACAAACCCATCTATCCAAGATCTGCTCCATGCAACCGACCTCACCCCACATCACACCCGGCTTTGACTTCGCCCAGTTGAAGTAATGCTTGATAACGATGGTAGCCAAACTAGCGTTCCACGAGGAAGAATTGAAAGAACTGGCCTGCCACTTGAAGGTCAAACGTCCAAACCCAGCAATCTGGAGATCTTGCTCGCACGCTTTCTTGATACTCAGTGGAACATCGAGCTCAGTGGGCAAAATGTCAGGAGCGGCCGTAAACGATGGTGGGGACAGATGTTTGCGAATACGTGAAACTTCGTCCTGATACACTTTTTGAAAGACTGATTTGGCAAGATTCTTGTTCTTCTCGGAAAATTCTTCCAAGTGCTTCGTTAATTTTTTATAGCGGTTCTCAGTCCAATTGTTCCAAACTTCCCATTCCTCTTGGTCTGGGGGCGCTGGATATGCACTGATAGATTCAGGCATCCCCATGATGAATCTAGTGAAATTTCGGATCGACCGACACAATGCCGTGGACTGATTTGGAAGTCCTTTTCCAACCACGACCCTTCGTACCCTTCGTTCATTCACCTGCGATTTCTCGTGAGCACGTTTTTCACGTTGAGCTCTCAGGTTGTACTTCAGGATGTCCTCAGGATCTTCCGGTTCGCTTTTCTCATCTAAGCATAGGAAGAGAATACAGATGGAACATTAATAGATCAGCTGAAAAGAACAAATTTTTCTTGATTTTCAATTCAAGTCAAAGAATTACCATCTTCAAGAATATTGTCAGCCGTTCCCCCCAAAATCCTATCAAAATCGGAGTCATCCCCCCCTCGATTCCCAGTGGTTCCTCCGCCAGCAGCACCTCGTCCTTCCGCAGATCCTTGACTGTCACCATCACCACCACGCATACTTTCTTCGTCATCCATACTTTCTCTACAATTTTTTATTTGGTAAGTTCTCAGAAATCAGTGTTAATACGCAGATGATTCAATATTCACTAACACAGATTTTTTTAATAGTCTTATTCAAAGGTGTACTGTCAAGTTTCCGAGTTTGTATATATCTATCAGATAAGGGAGGAGAGACTAAGATGATGGCAAGAGTGATAATTCGATTTGATGTGGGAGGATTGATGTTGGAATCCTGATAATCATAGATCCAGGTATCATGAGGAATACAAGCATGCACCCTTCCCTTTGTTCAATTGTTTGGACTTGTCATTTCAGGGAAATAATTTATTTAACCAAACAACATAAAACTTAAAACATCGGTCTAACTCCACAGAAGATTATGCTTTATAAGGTTTGACAATGGAGATTGAATAAAATTTTCAATCAAATACTGGAATGTATAAGTCACTATTCTGATTCGATATCTTGGCTCCATGCCTGTTTAGAAATCATCAAAATTCAAGAAACCGTCAATCATTGAATTTATTTATCTGTATGAATTTAACCAAATAAAAAAACTTACTATATTCCCCAGGCTAACAGCAGAGATAGTTTCCTTGTTCACACCAAATGTCCCCTCCTCATTCTCCAATATAGCGATATGCCCTACAACCCTTGAATGATGAATGACAAGTTCTCTGCCAAGTTTGTTTGCATATAATAGCCTTGTATTCAACTGCGGATGGTCTTTGTATGGATTCTTTGGTTCATCCCAGCGGTTTAATGTTGCAAAGGGTCGAATCAAAAACCAAACAGTATTTGTAACACTGTCTTTGAATAGCCGGCTAATTCGTCCAAACAGTTGTAATCCCGAATCATAAAATTCAACGTTTGAATTACCAGGAGGCTGACGATGCGAATCCTTTGCGGGAACATATTTCCAATGAAATATTTCCACGCTCTTCACCTTTACAAACGCCATTTCCAACCCTCTATCAGCCGGCAGTTCATGCCCAAATTTGCTCAACTGAACTTTCCATTGATTATGCACCCTTGAATCAAGTGTTATCTTCTCTTCTTTTTTAGTCATCATAATGAAGGGCATATCTCCAGAGACTTCTTCTCCCATCAATGGCCGCCTGTTGAATTTGGTTTGGTTGATATATCCGTGGTATCGTGATTTCTGATTCCATGTATTCATGATGGTTCCATGCATCTCTCCTGTTGATGTTTTCAATCAGACTTACGATCAATTTACGGAATAGTAGGAATTTATCAGGAATAAAACATACCAAGATTTTTGTTGTTTGGTATATTCCCCAGAATTCCATTCAGACGCTCCTGGGCCCATGCAGCTGTGGCTATGGGAGGACCCAACCTCTCAATGACTTCAGGATAATGCTGTGTAAGATGTAAATTTGCTTTGCTTGTATGGTGTGGCCATCCCTTTCGGAGGACTTCTCGGTATTCCTTTGTTAGTTTTCTCAAGTTGCTGATATCCCTTTCTTCCACATGATGCTTCATGAGAATATTTGTAATTTCAATTAATTTGATGGTGGAATCCCTCAAAACTTCCTGATGTGTCACTGTGTTCGAGCCTTCAATATATTTCTTCTGCCAAGAATTTCCAATCACCCAGTACGGAATAATTGCCAGAGGAAAATAGACTGTATATAGTATTAACCACTCCAATGCTTTCAGGGAGCCAGATCCAGCAAGTCCAAAGTTTTGTGGAACTCTTGATACCCAAGTGGGGATTGTTGTCTGAGAAATGACATTTTGAAGAACACGCAACTCTTCCTTGGTTAATTGAGGCCCTTCGCTAGAAACTCCTTCATCTTCTTCTCCTGGCAAGGTTTGTGATTTCCTCTGTTGATCTTCCATCATATTTCCCCTTTCATCAGTCTCTCCTTCCTCCTCAACTCCTGACTGGCTCCCAAGAGATAAGGTTCCTGTAACACTCCGTCGAGGCCTGTTCATTGTTGCGCTAGAGCCACTCGTCAGAGACCGGGTTGACCTTCTTCCTGAAGTTGATGTATCCACCCTTGATGAGCTTGAACGTAGTTGATAGGGATGTCTTGATGGACCAGCCATGTCTTCTTGGATACTTGATAATCGGGAAAGATTCTTTGAATTCAGAAGACGTCTCTTCCTTCCCCCCATCTCTTCATCCTCGGTGCCGCTTGAGTCTCCGTCTGGTGTTTTCTTCCGCTTTGAATCCGGGAACTTCAATCCTCTAAATATTTTTTTCCGATCCTCAGTTTTTTTCCAGTTGATCTCGTGTTCAATCCTTTTCTTCAAGAGCTTGCCTGCTCCCGGAATATTCAGAAAACTAGTACTGTGATCTTTCAGGTCTCCCAAGAGTAAAGCATGCATAACTTCAATTCCGCAATGTTCTACTGGTCGCCAGTACGGGAGGCTATTTAGAATGCTCCCTCTTGCTCCTTCTTCGGTTGCAATAGTCGTTCTCTCGAAGTATGTCTTGCAATTCTCCCACCGTTGAACTCTTTCCATGTGAGCCTCGTGTGTTTTCTTCTCGAATTTTCCAAGGTCAATCTCATTAATATCTTGAAGGGTGATCTCGCAGAAGGAACAAAACTTGTCTGCTGCATGGGAGGCAAACCCAGCTGTCTTGCAAATTGCAGGTAGGTCTCCAATTAAGGGAAAGATGGCAGCGAATATGAGGCGTCCTCCAGGAAATTGACTCGTCTTTGTGAACCACACGCCTTTCCAAAATTCGTTCATTTCCAACACTAGGGGTTCCAAGATATGGTTCATTTGATCCAAACTTGGCTCCTTTGGACCAGGTATTATCGCAAATAAGTACATGTTCTCAATTTTGTATCGTTCAATTAATGGTAGGTTGAGACACACAAGAGCCACCGTTCCCAAGGATACCGACTTTCCTCCAGGCTTCTTGGAAAAAGGATTGAACCAGTCAATATAAAGACTGAAGACAAGATTTCCAGACTTTGAAGTAAAAATATCGCTTGAGTCTGAAGGTCCGACAAAGTTTTTCCATACACTTCCATCCCATACATCACGCATTCGTCCATTCTCCTGGCTTTGGTATTTGAGGTTCGAATCAGCCAGACATTCGAAGCCAGGAAGCCAGAGCTTATACGAGAGCCAGTTCTTCAGGGTTTGGAATGTGAAAGTTCGGACGGGCTTGATTATCATTTTTGTACCAGATCCTTCAACATCAGCAACCTTTGCTTCACATAGTTGTTCTTCGTTTCCAACCTCTTTCAGGAACTTCTTGGATGTTGAGTAGAAGACAGTAGTGCAGGTCGTGGTGACTTCAGGAGTTGACTCGTCATCCTTCTTAGGTATCTCAGGAATCGGGTAGAGTTTGAAGCAATCTGGGCAGCAGATCATTTTGGAGAAACCAACATCAAATCCAAGGCGTTGCATGATAGTCGCTTTCGAAAGAGGTATGTTGCTGATAATTTGGGATCCGTCAAATTTAAATTCTTGAGAGAGTTGTTTCAATTTTTCAATTTCCGTCTTCAAAAATTCAGTGATGTTTTTATCACTAATTCGATTGATAAGTGAAAGTCGAGCTGCTTGTAGCATTACTGCTAGACTATGTTGAGGAATAAGCTGAAACAGATTTGTTTGGGATGCTTGAGTGTTCACTATTATCTGATGACTGGGGTTGATATTCATGTTTTGATTCAATCCTTCAGGACGGTTGGTCGTCGTAATCCTTGCATCTTCAGTCTACTCATTCCTGGTAAGTCAGCCCAGAAGATAGACTTTCAAGAAATGAAGAGGATAGCACTCAACTTGGAACGTGTTGGTATTCTGGGGATTAGCCTGGACTTCCCTTTCCTTTTCATCGGTCTGCTTCCTCTGGGAGAGTACTTTTAAGTGTGACTTGAATGATGTTACTGACCAAGCCTTTCCCATCTTCTCTTCACCGGTTTCGGAATCTCGGTAAGTTTCTTGATTGCAGCCCAACTCGGTACACTGGCAGATTTTCCATCGGGAGTGCATTCTTCAATTCAATAACAGTGTGAGCTTTGTGGGTTTATTTCTATTGGGGTGCTACTTTCCTGTAATATTCCATGGTAAAGTCAATCTTTACAACCTATGCATAATGCATGGTATCCAAATCCTATGCTCCTTTGATCCATAACTCAATGATACAACCATGGCTTGAACTACAAAGTTAGGGGGTGTTGCTGCATGTGGTTTCTATTTTACACATGTCGCGTTTTTCATTTCCAAGATTAAGCCCGGCGGTCTTAATCGTCACCCAACCACCTTCATTTAGAAGAGAACCGTTTCTTTAAATGTGCAGACAACGTGAACTCGAGTTCTCATAATTTTGTGCCAAGGCCAACTATATATATTAAGCCCGCCGGGCTTATCAAAATCAGATGAGAGGTACCCAACCTCTCCTCCAATAGAATATTTTAGATTTGATTTTCTGAATCTTTCCCATCTCATTTGTCCATTGCCAATCTACAAGCCACTTATACTAATGATAAGAGTCTCCCTTGTAAATTCAGGAGATCCAGCGAGATTTCTTTCAAACACCGCAGGTAAAATATTTCAAATAGGATTTTTTGGAAATCAAAGCGATGGTCAAATCACTCAAAAATGGAAAAGCTTCAGCAAATAGGCAGAACCTCAACAAGGCCCTTTTACACATCGTACCTCCACCTAACTCTCATTTTTCCAGGTCCATGGCTTCCTTCTGTCGTCTCCTCCTGAATATTGAAAAACTTTCTGAAGAACATTGGCAATCTCAACCGTCACACGAACAGATTCAACACGTCAATAACCTCCCAATAACTATCACTAGCCACCCTATTCGATCCAAAATGAACCTTCACCCCTCCAAACCCGATGTTTTACATGGCATCTCACTGAAGTGTCTCGATTTGTTTCTCAGTGACTTAAAAGAAGCTACGTTCCCAGTAGCAACTTTTGAATGGGCTTCTCCCTGGGATTCCCAATGGAACCAGCTATTTTCCTCCTTCGTACTCAAGCATTTCAACCACGCATATCACCAAGGCGCGTTGGTTAACTTTCCCATAAATCCTACTCATAATACTCCGGCGAATGCAACAGCTGTTCTCAAGAGATGGTTTCTTGGGAAAAAAAATGATATTGAGAAAAATAAATACTCCCCCGATGTGATTGCGAAGAAAGCGTACCAGGTGAAAAAGTCCAAGTGGAGGAAGCAGGTTTGCCAAATTCCACTTCAACTATCATTTTTAATCCTCAACTGAGAATTATTTGTTCCAGCTGTCTCAACGCCGTACAGAAATTCTCACCTTATTGGACCTTCCAGAGGAGGACCAGAATATCTTTGAAAAAACTGTCTGCTGCTCAGATACTGAGCAGTTTCCCAACGGGACTCTCCAGAGGATCCAGTGCTCTTGGCGTTCTCCAATTTTCTCTCAACTAGCTCATCAACTGGACCACTTTTACGAGAAGAATAAGGCTGAGAAGCTTGGTAAAAGGTACAAGTATGGGGATTCTTTCTTGCTCCTTCGTCAAAAAAGTGATTTACAGGAGAGGACAGTCAAAGTACCCTCTGGACTTCCCAAAAACTGCTACCATCCAAGCTTCCTTGCCTCTCTCAGTCAAATCGATCTATTGCTCCTCCAACCCAAACAGGAAATCAATTTTGCTGCTATTATACAAAAAATTTCTCCATCCTAGGTATGTTTCTTCACTTCAAGTTGTAGAAATTTTTTCCCTCATTGACCCTCTGACTAACTCAAATTCCAGGTTTCCGCTCAAAGGAACACTCAACCTATTGTAAACAATTTCATCAATTCATCCTTTCTATTTTACTCTGAGTCTTGAAAAAAAAAATGCTTACATGGCCAACTCTGCCTTCTTCCTTTTTATTTGAAAGATATTCCCCTCAATACTATTCATCACACAGTAGCGCACAACCTGTACTTTTGATTTTTGCCCAATCCTATACAGTCTATCTACAGCTTGTTCCTCCACCGCTGGGTTCCATGTAGGTTCCTATATTGTATGACAGTACCAAACATCACACTTGTCAAAAGTGGCACATCCATAGTCTTGTTTCCTCAATATCTCTTCTTGACTTACCATGATATATACCTTCTGGGCACATCTGAGGTCAATTCCAACTCCTGCCGTCTTGATAGTTGCCAACAGAATCCTACATTGGGAATCCCCACGAAACCGGTCCAAATTATTCTTCCTTGTCTCGTTATCTGTCTTCCCATAATGTGTTGTAAACCTAAACCCCTGATCATTCAAAGCTATTCCAATTCTACAGGTAACAGAATACTCTGATATTAGCGGACACCCTATATTTCCTGTAAATTTCAATCACTCAAAATTTGAACTTACATTTCAAGAAACCTCTTAAACTCTGAAAATATTACCACCCGATTTACAGCTCCACTACAAAGGAAATCTTTGACATCTCCAACCAGATGTACAATTTTTGAACTTTCATTCCAACCGTAGTTGTTTATTCCAGGCCCTTTTTCAATCAAAGCTGGGTGATCACATAATTGCCGTAAATCGACTAGTTCGCCAAAAAAATCTGAAGAGTTCCATCCTTGTCCGCCAACACGATTTTTTCCAAACTGTACCACAAATGTTTCATGGTTCTTCTCGTAGATTTGATTCCATGGTGATTTGAGTTCAATATTGATAACCCTTTCAACTTTTTCGGGCAGCTCTAGGACTGTTGTTTTTAATCTTCTCATGCTGATTCCATTCATAAGATTTTGAAGCGTCAAAATACCGCGAGGATCACACAGCTGAACCGGTAGCTCAACACATTGCTTCCATATTGAATTGTTTGACCAGGGTTCTAGTTGAAGAAACTTCAGCAAGTTGTGCAGATCGCCAAGGTTATTCTGCATGGGTGTACCTGTCAGGCACAATCTTCTTTGTGCCTTCAAGCTCAAGAGTACTATACTTTGATTCGTCTTGGGATCCTTCATATAACTAATGTTTCATTTCAGTACCATTTGAAATTATTTTTCTCATAGAAGTTTACAAATTTTTACTCACTGTGCTTCATCAAGTACAATTCGAAACCATCTGACATTTGAAAGATTCAGACCACTTTTTTTCTTCCTTCCTTGATCACTAGTTCCTATCTGTTGACCGTCGTTACTTTCTTTGATTCCCGATATGCAAACGGATTCGTATGTTGCTAGAACAATCGCAACTCTGGAAATATCTTGAAACTGAATGGTCGATCTTTCTTTACCATAAAAAACTTGATATGGAAGGCTTCCGTTATCAAAATGAGTATTGATTTCGTTAATCCAGTTGTCCAACGTTGATAGTGGGCAGATAATTAATGTTGCAGGGGTTCGCATTTCAACATCCCGATCTAGCTTTTCGTTGGCAAATAGAACAGCCTGGTTTCGTGAGAGTTGAATTGTGGTTAACGTCGTCAGAGTTTTTCCCAGTCCCATATCATCCGCAAGAATACATCCATGACTGTCAAATACAATATCCTTGTCTACAAGTCCTGGTGCCGCGGCCTTGGAAAAAACTTGTTTCACCCATTCGTTATCCGGATGCGTCCATATTTCATGAGCTATTGATATATTATCGGATTCGCTCCTTTGGATAAATTCAACGGCTTTTTGTTGATGATCCATAAGTGTTGTTCGACATCCTGGGACCGTTAATCGTTCTTCGGGAAGGAGGGTTTGGGGTGAATTGTTGATTTGTCGGACACCAAAAAAATGGCTTGGCTGATAGTTGGGTATCTTCTTGATTTGAATATTTGACAAGGTGAAAGCTTCCATCACATGCGATGCCAAAACAGATGGAGAAAATATGAATCCATGGACATGTGAAGTATTGCCATGTTGGGCTTGGACATAGAAGAGTCGGAGAAACACTTTATTGGGGTAGGAATTGCCAACAAATAATCTTGAGGTAAGAGGCTCAGAAAGTTGACCTATCTCCCCAATTAACGGACCAAGGAAACGGCTCTGATGGTCATTGAGATCGCCAACCTTTTCGTAATTGGAGCAGAGGATATGTAGATTGTTTCTTCCTCGGTGAAAAACTGCATCTCGAAGACCACTGCCAGATTGATTGGAGGAATCTGAGTTTCTAATGACTAGTGTAGTGAAGAAGCCTAGGCAAGATATGTCCGTCATTTTTAGTTTTCAAAAGAGATCGAATAACTTGCAGGATAACTCTACAATTTGTAAGGTCTTATATTACCTTTTCCTTTGGGGATGGGGGATGGGGGGGAGGGGAGATGTGCCTAATAATTGTGGAAATTGGTAGGGGGTGGGTCTCATATGCACCTTGAGTCACACATCTTCAGGCCTCTTGCCCTTGATATTTGGTTTTACTAACATAATTAAAGGGCCAAGGGTATCTTTCCTCTGTTGATCATTTGTTTGTCCTTATATGTCCCACAAACAAAATTCATGTGCATGTGAATTGCCTTACAAATCTTACTTTATGAAGTTTCATAGGTGGAGACATCATTATTACCTTATCAACCAATATCTATCACTTAATCCTTACTATTGCCTATGTCTGTTAGACGATTACAGCATACAAGAGCCTTTCCCCGTTGATTGCATGTAGCATATGGTGAACTATGTAGATATATCATGTTCATGTTGTTCCTTTGTGTGCCCCCTTAGCTACAAGAGTATATTTTCAAAATCAAACACTAGAGAGTGCATGCAATCTCCAAATAATCTGAATACCCTTTGGCACCAACATGTAATGTCATTATTTTGCCTTTTTATCTCATAATTTAAAATTTTAGTCTTATAATCATATATCCTGATACCAGTTTCTAGATCAAATAATTACTTCCCCAAATGCTTCATTCTCAGGAGACCAGATATTTATCTGGAGCATTCTGAAATTGAGTATTCCTAAATGCTACCACGAAATCACAAATTCAATTAAGATCAATTTCATCTGAGATCACATCAAATCATCAAAAATCTTTGGGCAAAATATTTCTTTCAAAACTACTTCATATATTCAATTGAAAATGTTGGAAAAATTCTGGAAGTGTATTAATAATTAAAAATTTCCAGCATGATGGAATTGATTATGTATAATGTGTATTTAATTTGATCTTCTGTCTGAATTCCAGACTTTTTGTATCAATCAATGAATATCAAAAACAGTCAAACTGAACATGGAAAATCAAACATGCAAACCTACACCAGTCAATTTCCTTTTTCTAAATAATAAACACCCATATTTATATTAAGACATTTGAACTATAATAAGAAAAGGAATAAATCAAAAAATGATCAACATCTTGCCTTGTGAATAAAAGGATTCAAGGGATTTTATGGAGCTTCAAATACTCTGACTAGATTTGATAATTGGAATTGAAACACAACCCAGCTTATCAGTACACCCTATCATATTCGATAGCCATCTTTTAATTCGAAATCTTCAACACAGGCATATTTATTCAAATTCCAACCTAAGAACAGAATTGAAATTTTGACTGGCATTTATTTCTCTCCAGTTTTCTTCTCAACTTCTCAGTTAAAAATCAGCAGGTATTATAGATTTTCCTGATAATTTTTTGTTATTATAAATGGTTAATACTTTGAAATTTTCATCACTCTATCCTGAACAACACCAAATAATATAAGAAATGAAAAAAATATACACAAACATTTTCCATATTCTGTGAAGTAGGACAGGTCTCTTCTCTAATTATCTTGACGTTAGTTAGAATATACATTTAAATTTAAAATAAATATGAGTTTTATGTATTTTAACAACATTCCTTTCATATTGGTCATTCAGATTTCATTTACTCTTTATTTGATTTTTCTTGCTAGCTGAATGAATTTTTCTTTCCCATCCCAACTTGCTGTATATATATTTTTTTTCACCCTTGAAAATACAAATATGTATTTTTTGATTGTTTTTTCTAGGTGGTACTTTTCTCTTAGGTGAGATTGGTTGAATTTTATTCTGATCAGTAAACATAGAAACATTTACTGGTTAAGAATATTGGATATTTCTGATTGACATATAGTCATACCCAAAACATAATACAAAGATAATATATTTAACAAACCTATGTTTCCTCATCAACAAATCAAAAATTCCATGAGGACTATTTTAATAAAAAGTAATCATGAATGATCATAACAATTTCTGAAAGGTAGAAGTGATTGGTAACATCATTGCGTCAAATTGCATATAATCATCAGGATTCTCCCAGATATGACAATTTGAATTTTTCTGATTCCTCATCAAGATAATTCAAGATTTAAATTCAAAATGCATATATACCAAGGGGTCTACATGAGTGAGAATGGAACAGCAAGCACAAGGGAGAACAGGGTATAAATTTTCATGGAACAGGGGCAAATAGGAATGTACTATTAAATGAAAATAAGTGGATTGATGAAGGAGAATATACATATATATATATTAGGATTAAAATTAGTAGCATTACAATAAAAATAATATGAATCAATTAACATGTTTTATGATAAGGATAAAATTGATTTACTTGTAAGAGAATTTGGTGTTCCATTGTTTGATCTACTTATATGGATATAGCTGATGATTTTCATGTGAATGTTGTCTTTCTTTATGGTTTTAATGACTTGACTTACCAACCAAAAAGATGACTGGTTGAATATTTGGAACTACTTCAACTGTGAAGGAATTATATGAAATATGAAAAAAATCATAATAAGTTGATAAATGATGTAAAAGGTTGGGATACATTCTAGATACAGTGTGGATATACTGCGGATAGATCAGAGATAGGTGAAGGCACCTCCATAAAGGTTCCTAATTTTTTTTCCTGGTGCATTTACCCTGTGATGAAAACTTGTTCCTTGTATTCTTATCCCCTCCCAGAAGGTTTATATGTGGTGATCTTTATAGATGGTTAAAGGGTATCCGTTGCGGATACCCGTTATCCCCTGGCGGATACCCACCTGCGGATGCGGATTTGGGAGCGGATGTCCCCTTCCCCCTGAAATCCTGGCAGATATCAGGGTATCCCAAGGGATACCCGGTGCCAAGAGGATGAGAGGGGCAGCTGGAAGGGTCTCCTTCCAGCAGGCAAGGTACATGGGTTTCCTTCCAGACGGCGAGGTACATGTACCTTTCTGACTGGAAGGAAACCGTGGGCAGGGCAAACACCATAGAATTCAGCCCAGTCAAACTACCAAGGATTGTGGTTGAGTTGGTCCTGACTGATGATCGATGATGATGTGGGATGGGTTATTGTCTTGGAATGTGATCTCTCACATCAGACTGTCACAGTCATTTCCAGTTTTTTGATCAATCAGAAGGGCGTTGTAGGACTCCTGGGACGGATAGACACGGTAAAGTATATGTATATCAAAAGATCCCTTGAGGGGGAAATAAATTGCAGATAGGTTGAAAGGCTATTACAACTTACGGGTGGTTTGAAAGACCTGCCCCTCTAAATGTACTAAACAAATAACTAAGAGTCTTGTAATCAATATTTAATAATGTGTGGCTGATTCCAAGATAGATCTTACTTTTGTAAAGTAATCTCTATCAGACCTAGATCACGTTTCAATCTACTAATGAATCTGTTACAACTTCAGGTTAATAATGGAAACTGTGGTGCTGATGACTTGAGCACGAAACAGATGAGTTGTTATAGAGTTTGTTAATGATCTCTTCCTCGAACAATTTCTTGCTAAGGCACTTTAATCAAAACTAGAGCTCCGGTACTAATACTACTACTACTTGTTATTGGTTAATTGTTAATGTACTACTACTTAGATGATGACTACTACTACTAATATGCTTCAAATTCCGAACTCTGTGTTGGTTTCACACTTACAATACTGTTATAACTCGCTACGTATCACTAACTAACTCACTACTTAACTTACTAACTTCTTCTGCTACTGGGTGATCGAACTTACTTCTGTAGGTTGATGTACTAACTTCAATAACTAACTAACTATCACTAATTCTAACTCTTCACTTTACTGACACTCCGGAACACTTCCAGTAGCTCAGGATCAACTTACTGCTCTACGAGACTTCTGTAGGCTGATGGGGAGAAGAGACTTTCTGGTGGGGAGAGGTCCTTCTTTTATATTGAAGAGTGAGGGATTTCTGCTGCAGGGGACTCCTTGTGAGGGAATATTGCTGCAGGGGATCTCACCTGCACAGCATTTGCGCGCAGCCTCCAAATAAATAGCGCAGCTTATGCTGTGCTAGGAACACTTAACTCCAGACCTTGTCACATAATATGCATGCAAGGAAGCACACAAGCGCAGCATGATGTCATGCATTGCCAGGCAACCAAGCCATCTTCCAGAACCAAGCGCAGCATGATGTCATGTGTCGCCAGGTAACCAAGCCATCTTCCTGAACACTCTGCATAGGCAGTACCAGCCTGCCAGACCTGCTGTTATCTCCTTCCACCCAGGAGTTGGGGGTCAAAGCCTCTCCTCACTCCTTCCTTCCTCCCTCCGCCTCAATATTTTCCTCCCTTCACTTTCTACAATCCGTACCCTGTACCCTTACGTAAAACATAAAGTACCCTTATTACACACCACTCCTCCGTTCCATTCCTGGTCGAGACATGTTCTCCCACTCCTCTCCACGTATATACTTCCGCTCCTCCGTTCCATTCCTGGTTGAGATATGATCTCCCACTCCACTCCTCGTATGCACACCGCTCCTTTGTTCCATTCCTGGTCGAGATATGTTCTCCCAATCCACGCGTTTTATGTAATCCTGTCCGTATATACCACACCTCATCCATAATGATTGTTCCTTCTCTTGTAAT